TATATATGTAAAGAATATATATATACAGAATATATATATATAAAGAATTTATTAGGTACTTTCTCATAAAATGCCAATCAAAATTTTAGAATGCATTTTGAATCCTTAAAAATAGATTTTCAATATTTGACAATGGCCCTAGTTATTTACATGTACAATAATAATTTTCATTTAAAAGTCTTCATGATTAAATTGCATCATTTATCTGACATGCCACATTCTTAAATTTTCATTTAACTATAACAATAAAAACAGTAGTTTTTTTTTTTAATATTAGAATGAGAAGGATTATTCTATCACAAACCCCAAGCCATAAAACAAAAATAAATTCAAATACTTTTTTTTAAATCCCGACCAGTAAAAAATGGTACAAACAAGTTTATAAAACAAAAGATATTAAAGAGCTTCTACAAATCACTAAAAATGACCAACGGAAAATTAAATACAAAAGGTTCTACACAAATGTAAAAGACTCTCAACCTCACTGATGTTAAAACTGCAATCAAATCTACAATGGCATATTTTCACCAAAATATTGACAAAGATTACCACACACTGAGTTGGCAAGGATGTGGGAAAGTCTCCCTAGTATATGTCACTTATGCCCACTTCCTCTGTGAAAGAAAATTTGGCAACATTTATTAAAATTTAAAATGTACTGACCTTTTGACCAAATCGTTCCGTTTCTAAAATTTTATCTCAGAAATATATTCACACATGTGGGAAATGACATATTTACAGAGATATTTAATATAGTATTTTTTCTAATGGCAAAATAATTAGAATCAACTTACCCCAAAATATGGTACTAGTTAAAAAAAATTACAGAACATTCTTAAAATAGGATATTATGTAGCCATTAAAATGAATGAGGAAGCTATATATTAATAGGTGTGGAAATTATCTCCTAAAAAGTAAACTTCAGGCCACATTTGTTTTTATAATGTTTACACACATATATCATATATGCGTGTGCACACACACACACACATAAAGACACAAAATATTTAATATTCACACATATCTATGAATATTCTCCTATGCATAGAATATTTCTGAAAGACTATACAATAAACTGACAACAGTAGTTTCCTCTGGCTAGGGAAATAATTAGCTAAGAAATTTTGGACTATATGCATATATTACCTATTAAATAAAAAAAGTTTACAAATTGACTTTGAAAAGTACTTTTTAAATTAAATTAATTTAAAAAATTAGAACTGCTCACCTATTTGTTAAATGTAAGTTAAATTATTACCTTGATCTATCAGGGAAATTTTTACTTATTATCTTTCTGTATTTGGGGGGCAAATTGTCCCTTTGACATTAACAGAAAATCCAAACTGAGATTGAAAAGATAATTTACATGTCAAGAAATACATAATTTCTAATTTGTTACAAAAATATCATATCTGAAAGACTATAATATATGTACATAGTAGAAATTTAATAAATATTTACTGAATGAATACTTTGTTACTGATTCAGTGGGTTTGCTTTCCTCATAATTTTTTTATAGGCCCACACTAAAAAAATTAAAGCACCTCACTGGAAAACAGAAACTTTTAAATTATGCTTCTCTTTCAAAAAATTATTTTTTCAAAACAAAATTGGTAAACTACCTCATTACCACAAGTCCAATCAACTTTACTTATTAGGTACCTACAATGTGCAGGTTATGACTGCACAACACAAACTCCAAAGAAGGGTATGTTTTTATTCTTGCCCTCAAGAAGTTTACATTATTGAAAGACAAGGCTAAAGGACATTATAGAATTTACTGATAGTTATCCCAACTAAAAATTTTAAAGGAATTTATGTAAGGGGAAAAAAAAGTAATTATTGACCTATTGAGGGATCTACTGAGATATAAAAGTGCTTCCAAAATTCTAGTATCTCATTCACATGTCAAATGGTATTATTTGATGGTGATAGACTTCCTGAGTATGTGGATGTTCAGTTAGGCTTTGAAGAAATTGCTAACAATTAAATATAATTTTTAATTATTCAGGCTCTTAAGAAGAAAGGTTACTATAGTAGTCTCAATCTGTTTTATTGTTCAACTCTCTCATTAAAAATCTCTCAGGCATGAACCTCTTAACATATGCATATTTGTTTACAAATTATATGCATCTTAATATTGTCAATCTATATATTAAGTGTCAGTAAAACTTAATCTCTTTTTCAAATACAAATAGAAGTGTAAATATGTGTTAATATTTTCTTTCTGTACTCTAAATATGTCGTGATGCTCTTAGGTATGCACGCCCCGCTCGGTGTGAATACTTAACATGAATATTGAAATTCACAGATCATGCAAAAATATTTTCCTCCAGTAGTCCCAATTTTTCACACATCAAACTTTTTGTTAACATAGTTGTTAAAAGGCAGCAGACATAAATTCAAATTTCAGTTTATTTCTCTCTGCCCATTACCTTCTTTCAAAAGATGTTAACAATGCAATTAAATAGACATCACTAAAGAGAAACAAAGGATGGAATAGTCATAACCAGGCAATTTCCTCTTAAAAGTTATTGGAAAATAGTAACTACTGAAGAATATTATTTTTTCTTATATATAGCATTCGAAACTTAATACCCAATATTGAAAATATGTTACTTAATAAGTTGAAAATGATTTCTCTCGTTATTATAATTCTATAATAAAAGCTATTCTTTTCTTCGTTTCCCTTGCCTACTCTTATTTTATTACAAAAGCCAAAAGTATTTTTGAAGAACATTTAAAATTAAATTTTCAAACATGTTATGCCAAGTAACTTCTCATTAAAATGAATACAAAAATAGTTCTGAAAACATGTAGGCCACTTTGAAGTACGACCCCTTCCAAGACTAAGTTAGGTAGAAATACAAATAGATATTTAAAATAAATGTAAAGATTTTTTCATCAATGTAACTTCATAGGCTATACTACTATATGTTTAGAAAGTTGTTTTTACATAAACTGTGTAAATATGAATTCACAAACTTATGTATTTGCATGGTATGTAGATTTATATGTAACTGTTATTATATATTCACATGTACCTACCTGAATAACCCTTTCACATTTTCCTAACATATTGTTTGCTTTGAGTAATTCTTAATTCAGTACTCAAAAGTTCATTTAAATTTCTATATATTAGAATAATAAATTATTTTGGAACTACAGTGCCAATAAATACTATGATTTAGCATACCATAAAGAAATAAAAAACACATTCTACATTTAAATGTGGGTCAAAGAAATAAAACTATTTTATTTGAGCATCATTTTGGCAACACTAGCTTTATAACAATTACAGTAAAAAATATAAATTAATATATATAAATATCAAACTCTAAGTCATCAAAAGCTTGGCGTTGTTAGTATATATAATAAAATCAAGCAAAGTTACGAATATGTTCAAAAGGCTTTTAAAAATAATGCTTTATTCTTCCATTAGTTGAAGTAAGCCACTTAAATCTCTTAATCTTTTTTTCATTTTCCAAGCCTACTAATCAATTACATTCCCAAACAAGTGTTCAAACCCAAAAATTATCTTTGAAGAAGCAATTCTTTATTTCAGTTAATATGTCAGGAATACACTTGCTTAGACCTTCAATAGTTTTTGATAAACAGTATTTTTCTCAAACATGTACAATTAACTGATACGTTTGTCATCATAAATAATTTGAAGTAGTAGTTTTTGTTAAATTATGGAGATATATATGTATAGACAGAGAATAGTTTATAAGTTCAGTAAAGAATCCTGAATTTAACAACCTGTTTTTAAAATGTACATGATTAGAGGTCAGTGTGTTAGTTCCTTCATTGAGGATCTCTACACTTTCTATTGTGTTTCTGTGGAGAATGTGAGGAAAGTATACTTGAAAACGCGCAAAAGAACCGTTTCACTTTGGCATATAAACTGAACAAGTAAATTTCTTACTGAAAAATTCAAGTAAAAATAAAAAAGTTGAGTTGGAAGAACATAAAAAGATTACACATCTTCTGCACAATCTCTTTCACATAATAACTTAGAAACCCATTCACCATAAAACATTTAAAAAGCAAGCCTGTAGAAACAAATCACTGCTAGACAAGAGGAGTTTCAAAGCTATAAACTATCTGCCTGGACAGTTCCCTAGTGCTGAAGTTACAGCGCCGCTAAACCGATGCCTGGGTGCTGCTTCCACTCTCCCACCCTCGGCCAAATCCCGGCTGCCTACACTAGGAACAGGAACAGTAGAACTTCACAAGGAGGGAAGCATCCCAAACTGCAGTAATGGTAGGAACTGGAGTGTCTTCAGAGTCTCTTCAAGATTAAACAGATTTACTAGTTGCAAACAGGAAGAGCAGCAGAGTGCAGGGTGTTAGAACCCGCTGAGGGGGAGGGGCTGGAAGATGGCGGCGGCCGCACACCCACCAGAGACACGACAGAGCTTAGGCCCCTCGCCCGCACTGCCGCCCTCCTGCCCGTGGCGACTGTGGGCACCTCTGCTCTTCTCAGCGTTGGGGACAGAGCCGCCCTGCGGAGGCACCGGACAAGGGGCCGGCGGCGGCGTCCGCATCCCCGGTCCGCGCGCCTTCGCCCGGGTCCCAGCCAGGGAGCACCTGTGCACGGCCATATTGGATTCATTGCCCCAGTCACTGCCTCCGCGCGGGGGCGGCGGCGAAGGAGAAGGCACGCGCGGAGCCAGGGTACAGCCCCAGCCCCGCCGGGGTCCAGGAGCCGAACTTGCCCGCGGGGAAATCCAGAAGGACGCCCGGGAACATTACAACGCCCAAAGGCTCGCCCCCCTCACCTCAACCGGCCCCGGCGCCCTCCCTCCCCGATACACACCCCCGCGCTCTGACGCCCAGAAAGCAGCCCCGGCGGCCCGCGCTGGCCGCAGCCCTCGTGGCCCAGGCGCCGCCGGCGGGAGGGAGGGCACCGATCCGGGAGCGCGGGCGGCCGCAGGGAAGCCGCCGAGGGGGCGGAGGGCAAGGAGGGAGGCGGGAAGATGGAGCTGGGTCCTTACTTGAGCACCGACTGCTCCTTCTCCTCTTCTTTCTTCTGCCGATCCATGACGGCCAGAATGATTTTCCTCTCCTCCTCCGTGAGGTGGCTGAGGTCGGGCATCTCGGGCTGCAGAGGCGGCTGAGAGGCCGCCGGAGTGGGAGCCGGGCGGCCCCGCGGCCCGACAGGAGCCGACATGTTTGGGGCAGCCTAACCACCCTAGGGAAGCAGGGAGGCAACTCCACTGGCGGTGGCGGCGGCAGCACCCGCGCGGGCGGCTGGGGCAGCCTCCGGCGCTGGGACCAATACATACAAATCAATGGCCTTCAATCTGAGGCGACAGCCCCCCTCCCCCAAGAAAAAGAAAAGAGTGGGGGGCGGGGAGGGAGGGCGAGCGCAGAGGGAGGGAGAGCTGAGTGCGCTCCGGGAAATGTTTCTTCAGCCTCCAGGGGCGAAGGGCTGGCAAGTGAGCGGTTTGGGTGAGAGGAGAGCGGGAGGCCGGGCCGGGACGCGGTGTGCGTGGAGCGGCGAGGGAGGGTGGTGGAGTAAGGTGGCGGGGACGGCTAAGGGTGGGGTGGCTGGAGGGAGCGGGCGCGAGGGCGGCGCGCGGGCCGGGGCGCGAGTGTGTCCGGCTGGGGCAGGGGGCGCGCGCGCCACCTCGGAGGGAAAGGGACCGCTGCGAACCAGCCCCCTGGGGGAGTTCGGACACCCGGCCCCGAACGCCCGGAGGCAGAGTCCCGCGAGCCGGAGGGGCGCCGAGGCGGGAGCAGAGAGGGCAGTAAGAAAGCAGGGGCTAATTTCTAGAGAAGCAGCTCAGCCGTCCCGCCGACCGACGCGTCTCCGGGCTCCCAGGCGCCGCGAAGGGAGGACCCCTCCAGAAACGATGAGGAGAGGGACACGGAACCGGGGACGGCCGTCGGAGACCCCTCCAGGCTAGAGCGGAGAAGCGAAAGCGAAGAAGGGATGACTAGGGCTAGCAGCGGAGAGTCCTGAGGCCAGGGCCCCTCGGCTGCCAACCCCTGGATCCCAGCGAGCTCCTACGCGTCGCAGGATCGGGCGCTGATCCTTCCTCATCACGCGCCCGCCAGGGGACCCTCAGCTGCCGCCGCCCCTTAGGTCCGTGGAGTCAGCGCCGAGGGCCCGCTCTCTCCCTACGCCGCCGCCGCCGCCGCCACCG